GTGGGAACGCTTTTTCTCCTCCGGGGGAGACCTGGGTGAAGGAAGCTTACTCGGAGGGACCCTCCCACCTTTCTTCCCTTCCCTCTTCCTGCTCCTTTGTCTGGCAGTTGTAGGGATTGAACGGAGCCTCACACACACTGGGCGGGCGCTGGACCACCGAGCCACACCACAGCCCTTTCCGCTGTCTTTACCACGATCCTTGTCTTGTTGGGAGGCGTTGAGGCTTCGTGCTGCTCAGACTCACAATCGTACTCACTCGAGATGGCCGCTTTGGGTCGACGGTCAATGGATACAGGGCAAAAACCATGGCTTCGTGTGAGAGACATAAAATGAGTTTTATTTGTTCGGTACCGGGGATCAAACTCATGACTTTGCGCTTGCGAAGCAGGTGGCAGAACCGCTGAGCTAAATCCCCGGCCCTCAGAGGAGTATTTTTGTTTGTTTGTTTGTCTGTTTGTTTTTGAGACAGGGTCTCACTATGTAGAGTTGAGACTGACCTGGAATTCACTACGAAGCCCAGGGTGGTCTCAAACTCACAGCGATCCTCCTGCCTCAGCCTCCCGAGTGCTGGGATTACAGGCATGCACCACCACTCCCAGCTGAGAGGAGTATTTTTAATAGTGCCAAAGTGCTGGTGCCCCATTGCAGCCATCTGTGACTTAGTCTGGGAAGGTTTTATGATATTTCAGGATTGCACCTGGAAGATTAGAAGGCTGAAATGTCTAACGTAATACGATGCACATCTTAAAGCAAACGAAAACCACTGAAAGAGCGTTCGTTTCCTGCTTTCTGGTGAATTATCATTCCCCTTGGCTTGCTCTGCTGATTTCAGCCCCAAAGCTGTGGTGAGGGAATATGAAGCTGGGCAGAGCACTCGGTGGAGTAATTCTGCAGTGGTTAGTTTGGTTTAACTGGAGGACGATAAAGCCAATCTTGAGGGGGTTTTTGTTGTTGTTGCTTGGTGGAGACTCCTGTAAGAGCTGGGGGGAGTGAGCTGATCCACTTGCTAGCCTGCTAGGAAGGAAGGGTGTCGCCGCAGGGGACTTCCGGTGCCGCTCTGCCCACAGCCGACCCCAAACCCAGCGAGTAGGTAGCACTGAGTTACCCGCGAACGGAGCCCAGGGAAAGGTCACGCTGCTCAGCGGAGCGCAGAGAACGCGTGTGAACCGAGCCCTCCCTGAGACGCAACTTTCCGAGCGCCGGGGCGGTCACCAGCCCTCTGACTTTTGTGGTGTGTTGCTCCTCTGTGCAGCCAGTTCTGCCAGAGTGAGGTCAGGGCCAGCTCTCAAATGTCACTGGGCTCCTGGGACTGGGGGAGCACGCTGTGTGGACAGGCCCCTCTTCCCTTCTCTGTGTGGCTGCCTGCCCTGCGGTTGTTTTACTGATGATTAGAGTGTGGGGCTGGACAAGGAATATTTCAAAATAATGTCTCATGACAGTTCTTTCCTTTTTGGTACTGGGTACTGAACTCAGTCCTTTATATTTTTTACTTTGAGACAAGGTCATTAAATTGCTCAGGTTGGGTTTGAGGTTGTGACTCTCCTGCCTCAGCCTCCCAGAGTGCCAGGATTATAGGTATGCACTATTGTGCACAGCTAGTTCTATTTTCTTGCGAGTTCTATGCCAGGCATTGTGTTAAGCATAGTACTGATTCACTTAGGCCTCACTGAAGGAAGTTCATGTGCAGTATAGCTGTGCCCACCAATACAGAGACTTCAGCAGGTTCAGAAATCTGCCCAAGGTCACGTATCCATGCGTGGCAGCAGCAAAGCATGGGTTCCGGATCGCCATGCTGCACACTGATGCTCCCCGTACCCAGTGTGTGTGTGTGTGTGTGTGTGTGCGTGTGTGTGCGTGTGTGTGTGTGTGCGTGCGTGTAAATATGTGTGTAAACACGTGGATGTGATGAAATTGTAAGAGGCAAATTAAAACCACACTGAAGCCAGGCGTGGTGGCACACGCCTGTAACCCCAGCACTTGGGAGGCTGAGGCGGGAAGATCGCTGTGAGTTCGAGACCAGCCTGGGCTACACTGTGAGTTCCAGGTCAGTCTCAACTACATAGTGAGATCCTGTCTCAAAAACAACAACAACAACAAAAAACAAAAAACAAGGGCCGGGGATTTAGCTCAGCAGTTCGGTGGCCTCCCTTGCAAGGGCAAGGACCCGAGTCCAATCCCCGGTAGCAAAAAAAAACAAGAAAACAAAACAAAACAAAAAACCCAAAACAAAACAAAAACAAAAAAACACACCAAGATAGCACTTCACACCAAATAGGGCAACAATAATGTTGTTTTAAATGGAAAAATTACAAATGTCAGCGGGGAAATCGAAACCGCCATTCACTGCTGGAAATGGGAAGAGTCACAGCAGCTGTGGAAAATAAACTAACAGCTTGTCTAGGAGTCACACAGTGACCACAAGGCGCAGCTTCACTGCTAGGCACGTACCCTAGAAGACCGAAATCACAGATCCCCACAGAAAACTACACGCTGGTTCAGGTTTGTAACAACATTGTTCATAAGAGACCCAGAGAAGAACTGGCCCAAGTGTCCAACAACCAATGAACTGATAAAGAAAATGTGCTGAAGTTCAATCCCCAGTACCGCCCCCCCCAAAAGTGCTACAGCCACACAGTGAAATATTATTCAGCCTTGAAAAGGAATAAAGTGCCGATTTGTGCCAGTTTGTGCCTCAACGTGAATAGACCTTGAAAACATCAGGCCAAGTGAAAAATGCCACTTGTGGGCAGCATTAATGTGATCAAATGATTGCATTTTTCTTCAATATCTAGAGTAGGCAAATTCACAGAGATGGGATAGGTTTGTAGGTGTGTAGGGTTGACTGACAGTGGATCCAAGACCTCTTTTTGGTGAATGGAAACTTTCTGTGATTGTATACCTGTGGTGGTTACATAGTGTGGTGAATATACTAAAACCCTGCTTTAAAGTGGACTGTATTTTAATGTTTTGAAAAGGCCACTTTGGGGTCGGCTCTACCGAGTCCTTGAGCCCTGGGCAGTAGGGAGCCACTGAGGGTTCCTAAGGAAGGTCGAGGCACACCTGGGATTGTGTAAACTGTGAAGCACCGGCGCAGCAGAAATGTTTGATAAATGCAGCTTGGTCACTTCTCACTCGTCCCCCACCTCACACTCAGGAAAATCGCTTTCCTGTTTGACCCATGAAACAAAGTCTGCCGAAGTCCAGCACTCTTGCTATGACCTCCCTGCTCCCAGAGAGCTCCCAGTCGTCCTTCTGGGGTCCCTGAACATGGGGGGAGGGACATGTTCCATTCAGAGCCCCTGGCCATCCTCTTGTCCTCGTCCTGTTGTGCCCAAGTTGCAAAGTCTGCAAAGACCACCAAGGAGTCAGGTCCGATGCAGTTGCAAGAGGAGTTCATTGCAAGCTCGAGCCTGGACTCTCAGGTGTCACCGTCACAGTGGCTTCAGACCGAGAGCCCAGATCCTTCTTTGAAGCAGGGTTATATAGTGTTAGGGAGACTTTTTCCTTTTATGGTTTCTATTTTTAGCTCTCGCTTATCATTGGATAATTGAGGGGTACTGGGAGGGCTTTTATATATCATTGGATATTCAAGGGGCACCGGGAGGGTGCTTATTGGAAAATTACTTAATGCCTACATTCGCAGAATCAATTTCTCTTTTTATTAGATCATCTGATTTTGCAAGCTAAGATATCAGTAGGTGGCTATATCAGCTATAACTAATTCCTATATTAATTAAATCAAACAGAAAAGAATTCATCTTGGGATCTTAAAAGAGGAGCAGATTATTCACACCAGGGAAACTATTCGGTATTTACACGTGTGCCTTATTTACTTCACTTAGGAGTATATCTTCAATATATATCCATTTTCCTATGAATGAATCTATTTTCTCATTCTTTATGGCTGAGTAATATTCCAGTTGCAATAATACATAAGATCCTAATAAGATTACCGACATTGAGAAATGGGAAGAAAGGAGCTAAAGGTGTAGGGAAGGTGGGATGGGCAGGGGAAGGGTAAAAAGGGAAAAGAAAAAAATGTGAGATAATGAAAAGAAAGGTACAAGACCAACAATGAGTGTAACTGTACTGTATCCCTAAAATGTACCAATAAACTCAATTAAAGCTGAAAAAAAAAAAAAAGAGGAGCAGAAACAGGGTGGAGATGCCCTAGGATAACTTGCCCTTAAGAGAGGAACAGAAACACGGAGAGACTGTCACACAGAATGGAATTTTACAGAAGGGAACTTTTGCATTTACTCTATTCTGGGTAAGGGGCATGGAGCCCACCGTGACCTGGAAACTTGGTCCTCACAGTCCTTCTCTTCGTTCTTCATGTCATTTTCCTTCTCCTCTTCCCGGTCTTCCTTTTTTCTTCTTCTTTTAAATCTAAGGTCCTGGTTTTCTAAGAACCCCAGCGGACGTCACACAAGGCTGCAGGGCTCTCCTGCTTCTGGCCTCCTCCTTCCCGACCCCATCACAGAAGATGGGAGCCAGCCCAGCCCGGCTTCCACCCCAGAAGACGGGCCCAGGGTGTCGCCAAGGCGCCTGGCATCTGGGATCTTTGGAGTTAGGTGCCAGCGTGTGGTGAAAGCACCGGTCTTTACTGGAAATGGTTTCACCCTTGGAATCTCAAAGCTTTGACCCCAAGAGCTACTAAAAGGGCAGATCCTCTTCCCAACGGGAGAGAGCTGTTTCCAAGAAACACTCAGAGGTTCTCGTGCAGGGAATATACAAAAATCCGTGAATCCTATACTGTAAAGTGGACTGTTTTAATTTTTTTTTGGTACCAGGGATCAAACTCGGGAACTTGTGCTTGTGAGGCAGGCAGTGGAACCACTGAGCTAAATACCCGGCCCTGTGTTTTAATTTTTTGAAGAGGCAATTTGGGGTGAGATCTACCTCCTGGGTGGGTGGACTTCCCACGAAGCCCCACCCGGCTGAGTCACAGCCCTAGGCCAACCTGCAGCCCCACAGCAGGCTCAGAGCTCACTGCGTGCTGTTGTCCCCACGGTCACCACCAAAAGCGCTCTGCAGCTCTGGGACTGCAAGGTTGGTGCAGTATCTGAGACGGGTTGGGGGCCGGAGCAGGGGGGACCGGCCTAGGAGCCTCTGGTTTTCTTACACATTTCTAGACTTCCTGTCCTTCTGATCTGCAAGAACTGCTCTCCAACAGCTCTTTATGTACAGATTGCTTTTTTGGTTTTGGTTTTTGTTTTTTTTTTAAAGGAAGCGTCTAAAAATCTTCAAATCTCAAAATAGGCGCGTCTCGGAGGAAGTCTAAGGAGACACACTTGAGCAGAGAGGTCTTGCCTGGCGCTGGCAGCTTAGATGCTCGCTCACAGCAAGCAGTCGCCTCTGTGAGGGCCTGGCATTGTTGAGAACTGATGCTAAATGTCTGTGGATGTCCCCAAAAGTTCTTGCTGTTGTTAGTTTTGCATTTTGTCCCCCCGCCCAGACGATGTTGGAAATGTCACCCTTAGGCTTTAGCATTTGCACAGGGCTGCTGGCCTTCTCCTCGAAGTTGCTACAAACTTGCTACTTTTCCATACGGTTGCATTTTGAGATCTGTGTAAATCACCACTGAAATGTAGCCAATTCTGGAAACCTTTACATTCTGCAGGGTGACATTGGCGAGGCCATTGATTTGGTTACAGTTCTCCTGAGGTCCGCTCTGGTGGGGTCCAGCCTCCGCAAGATCTCAGCATGAGAAGAAGCCTTTACAGCACAGTGGCGGCTGTGCTGTTGGTCACGAATTTTGAGAGGACGAGGTCAATGCTGGATTCCTGCAGCAACTGTCCAGCTGGTGAGTAACGAGTCAGCAGTGACCTCGCTAGGGTTAGCTCTTTTTTGGGGGTGTGTGTACTAGGGATTGAAGTCAGAGCCTTTGCACCGAGCTATACCCCTGGCCCCTTTATTTTTATTTTTAGCTATTTAAGGTGCTATATTGCCCAGGTTGGGCTGCAACTTGGGAACCTCCTGCCTCAGCCTCCCAGAACGCTAGGATAACAGGGTGGGCCACTGCCCCCTGCTTCTAGCTTCCTTTTCATGGTCTTTGATTCATTTGTTTGCACATGTTTGCTGGATGCTACAAACTAGCTGTGTGAACACAGCCGGGTCACTTGACCTCGGGGCCCCAAATTTGTCAACTGGGGATAATGAGAGAACCTGTCTCAGGATCTAGATTGGCAGGAAGGATCCTACAGCTGGCTTAGACCAGTACATAGCACATGGCAAAACTCAGGAAATGTTACAGTTATGTTAAATCTGTGGGCATAAGCAGGTGGGAGCTGGTTTAACCCAGTGAGGGGTCAGACACACAAACCTCGGTGCACTAGTGAGGGATGGCAGATCGTCCTGTCTTATCCAATGGAGAAAGGAGAGTAATTCTGTGATTATGTGAAGGGCAGTCTTACCAATGCATAACTTTAAAAAGTCAATCGACAAACAAATGTGTGTCACTGTGACATCTTGAGAACAGATCATCTCATTTTCTTACAAACGTCACAGTGCTTCAGGTGGAGTGGTGAGTGGCCAATGTCAAACATGTACGTCTATTATCTGCCTCTTTTAGGTACTTTCTGTGGGAAAAATAAGGACCAGACCTGTGTTCTCTGCCCGCCAAATAGTTACTCCAGCACACTTGGACAGATGGTCTGTAGCATGTGCAGAAGGTGCGAAGGTAAAGCTTGAAAGATGTGTTCTTCACCTGGAAGATTGCCGGGAAGAGGAGCTTTTACTCCCTCTTTTCTGATTGCTTTCTGTTGATAATTTTGAGCATCAAAGATGTCGATTCCTCTGCCAGTGGGCAAGCCTGGCAAAAATCACTTAATGTATAGCAACTGCTTGAGGCTAAGCGTTTTGAAATCTCAGAGGAGATATTCACTTGACAAGACAGGGCAGATTCATTAACAAAGCATGAAAATGTCTTCACGGAGATTTAAAATGAGCCCTTGCACTCTGAAGTCATCGTGAGCGGCTACACGATAGCAGCATTTTACTGCCAAGCACAGATTGGCTTCCCGGATGTGGAGATGAATCGGAGTCTAACCCAGGGTCTGACGGGTTTTGCAGGTGTCTTCAGGACCAGGAAGCCGTGTTCCCGGACCAGCAACACCGAATGCGAGTGTGCTCCAGGGCTCCGCTGCTTAGGGCCAGGCTGCCCCAGGTGTTACCCCGACTGTGCACAGGGTCAAGAGCTCACAGAGGACGGTGGGTCTGCGCCTCCTCCATCGCTCCGCGTGTGTTACGGAGACCTGTCGTATGACCCCTAGAGCCTTACAGTAACGAGTAACCAGCCAACATCAAGTATGATGCCAGGGCCTTACTTTAATTTATATATAATATATTTTAATTGATAAAATAATGTTTCATGAGTAGAAATAAATTTGAATCAGGGACATTTGTTAATAGTCAAAACCACACCTTTTCCCTATTATCCATTTTTAATTTTGCTTTTAGTTATAGTTTGGGCTTCTCATATAAGAGAAACCATGTGATATTTAAGCTTGTTTGTCTGGTTTACTCCACTTAACATTGTAGTCTCAAGGTGCATCCGTTTTGCACAAATGCCTCAAGTTTATCCTTCTTTATGGCAGTGTAATACTCCACAGTGTGTAAATACCACGTTTTCTTTGTCCACACATCTGTTGACGGACATATGGGCCACTTCCAAGCCTTAGCTGTTGTGAAATGTGAAATGTGCTGCTATAAAAATGGGTGTGCACAGACCACTGAGATATATCTTGAAGTCTTGAGGGGAGATACCCAGAAGGGCAATAGCTGGATCAAAAGGGAAACCATGCATTTCAACACATTTTAGACATCTACAGTCTGCATAAACCTAGCGGTCTTAGGGTTTTGTTTCAAGAATCAATTTGCCCAGGTTGTACAAAGTCAGAAGTGTTACTGTGCTCCCCATAAGGAAAGTTACGAAATGATAAAATGTGTATTTTTTTGTCACACTGTCATTTTTCTCCAAGGTTGTAAGGACTGCTACTTTGGGACATTTAATGATAAGAGAGGCGGCGAGTGTCAGCCCTGGACAAAGTATGAACCTTTCATTTTGCCTACAGATAAAGACTCTGGGTTAAACTGGGTGAAAGACAAAGCCTGCTCTTGCTGGACCTTTCCCACTCCTGCAGGGTGGGGACTGAATCTCTGTCTCTCTCTTCCCCTCCCTCTCCCTCTCCCCTTCCCTCCCTCCCC